GGCCCCTCCATGTTCCCCTGTCCAGTGCCCGCTTCCTGCTGCCCGGACCCACACCCCGCAGACAGAGGCCCCACCCAGAGAGGACATGCACGAGCCGGCAGAGGCTGCTCCCCTCAGAAGACGTCCCTTGACACTGGGAGTGGAAACTTCCGAGTGTGCGGGACACCACGGAAGGGCCTGCGTGGGTCCTGGGAAGCCCAGACCAAATCGTATTTACGCAGCAGCACGTAAAGGCTGAGGCACCCTCTCTGGAAGGGACGCAACTCAGGAGGCTTTTCTATAAAGGGCCGGTTGGAAACTGCAGGCCTTGCGGGCCACGCGTGCCCCACCACGTCCTGGACGGCACGCACGAACAGTGTGTCTGCAGGCCCACAAACCCAGCCACACGCAGCCCATCGTGGCTAGGCCGGGGCCGCTCAGAACTGCAGAAGCACAGTGGGTAGCCGCACCGGGCTCCAGCCACACCTCTCCAGGTGTTTCTCCTCAAAACGCTGAGGGGCGCTGAAGGCTGACAAGGAAGGCCACCACTGCCTGACACGGCCCTAGATGTGGCCACCAGAGCGATGTCCCGGCCTGTAGGACCAGCCCCGGCAGGCACCCCCTCACACCAGGCCGCAAGCAGAGCACAACTCCCGGACACAAGGCCGAAGCAGGGCTCGGCAGTGAGAAGCGACCAGGGGGACGACAAGCCGGGCTGTGGGCAGAGGCGGGGAAGCTGCAGCAGGAACCCCAGGAGCCCACACAGTCAGGCAGAGCTGTCCGGGGTACTGGCCAGAGGGGCTGCCGAGGCTCTGGCAAAGGGCAGGCTTGCAGGTTGTCACTCAAGAGGCCACAGGGCGGGGGCATCGCTGCGGGACGTGCGGACACCCCCGAGGACTCCCCAGGGCTCAGGAGGGGCAGAAGGACCCGGCACTCGGCCACACCAGCCCACCGCAAGGTTCTGCCCTGGCCAGCGGCAGGACCCGGGTCCTTGGAGGAGGAGCCAGGAAGCCCCGGCCCCAGGCACCAGGTGGAAGGGATCCAGGCTGCAGCCCCTCAGGGCTGGCATGAAGACGCGGTGCCCACGCCCTGGGGTGGGATGCTGACAGGAATGACTACTGGAATCCACCTTCTGGCAACTCCTTTCCCAAACCAGAGCCCGTTCTCTGGGGACAGGAAGGGGACCCCACAAAGTCAGCAGAAGAAACTTCGGGAGGCCCAATGGGCCCAGGGTGAGGAGGCCGGGCGTGCGGCAAGCCTGGAAAGCCCCTCGTCACCCAGGCCCTGAGCCCTTCCCTAGACCGAGGAGCTCGCAGCGGAGCCTGGCGGGTGGAGGGCACCAGCATCCACACCTTGTTGGCCTGGATCAAGTGGAAGTTCTTTCCGTGCACTCGGAAGCCGTGCTCAAAGTTCCTGCACTCCTCTTCGCTCCAGGCACAGAGCCCATCTGCAGACAGGGGCCAGGGGAGACGGGTCAGCTGCGCCCGGGGCAGGCATCAGGGAGGGCAGGGCCAGGGCCGCGCTCACCTCGGACGACCTTCACGTTGAACCGCAGCCTCCGCAGGGCCTCCTCCACGTTGAAGTTGCACTTCACCAGCTCGTACAGCGCCTGGGGAGCATGGGTTGACACTTCCCACTTGCTCACCTCAGGAGCCAAGCACAAAGGGCGTCCCATCCTGGGAGTGGTATCAGGGGGCGTCTGCACCACCGTCCTGGGAGTGTATCAGGGGGTGTCTACACCACCACCCAGGGGCGTCTACACCACCATCCAGGGAACAGTATCGGGAAGTATCTACACCACCACCCTGGAAGTGGTATCGGAGGTGTCTACACCACCACCCAGGGAGCGATATCAGGGGCATCCACACCACCATCCAGGGAGTGGTATCAGGAGGTATCTACACTACCATATTGGAAGTGGTATCGGGGGTGTCTACACCACCATCCAGGGAGTGACATCAGGGGGTATCTACACCACACCCAGGTAGTGGTATCAGGAGGAGTCTAAACCACCATCCAGGGAGTGATATCAGGGGCATCTACACCACCATCCAGGGAACGGTATCAGGAGGTATCGACACCACCACCTTGGAAGTGGTATTGGGGGCGTCTACACCACAATCCCAGCATTGGCATCCGGAGGCATCTACACCACCATCCAAGGAGTGACATCAGGGGGCGTCTATACCACCATCCAGGGAGCAGCATAGGGCGTCCACATCCTCTCCAGCGGCTTGAATTTGGCTCCTGCCCAGCTGGGCAAGCAACCCCCTCCCGGCCTGGTGTGGCCGCTCCAGGGCCCAGGGACCCACGCGCCTGCTGCTCCCCTTACTTCCGGTTGGCCAGGCCCCTGGAGGCACCAGGGCGCGTCAACCCCGCAGCCCCCGGCGCCCAGCGTGCAGCCCCACCTGCTCACTGTCCTTCACGGCCTCTCCCTCCGGGAGCTGAGACCCAGCCACCTCGTGCCATCTCCGCTTCACGGCCCTGTACAGGAAGTCCTCCACCTCCCTCTCGGGGAGGACGCCCGGGTCCCAGAGCAGCTGGTCTTCGTTCTCGTAGACTGCACGAGGAGAGAGCAAGGGTCACGCCGCGGCTCTCACTCCACCCACACCGGGATGGCGGCGAGTCGCCCCAGCGCCTGCGACGGGGACCGGCACACCCACTCCCCTCTTGCCTGGGCCTGCCACCTCGGGGCTCCCCCCGGGCAACACCGCGTAACAAGGGGGTTCAGGCCGGCTCTGGGCACCCAGACACAGGTGAGAGGCCATCAGGCCCAGGGGTCAGAGAGCGAAGCGGGGAAGTCACAAGCGGCCAGCGGGGGCAGCCATTCCCCTCTGGGGTGGGCCAGGGGTCAGAGGCAGCTTCCTGGAAGAAGTGGCAGGACCCGCAATCCAGGAGAGTGTTCCGACAAGGACTTGGGGAGGGGCCTGCAGTGCCAGTTTCAGGGAGGCAAGACTGGCTCACGTAGTGCAGCTTTACAAGCACCGGCAAGGCAAGGGCCGAGGGAGCAGCAGAGAGACCTACTCTGCACAAGGGCAGCTCGACCTGGACCCCCGGACCAGAGGTCTAGTCTAGGGCAGACGCTCCCGCGGCCCGAAGACATTCCAGCCGCAGGACCCTCGGGGCCACAGCCAGGGGTGCGCCGCCACGCCACAGGGACCCTGCCCCCTCGAGGCTGGTTGGGGGCAGACGCTCCAGGAGAGGGAGGAAAGGCGGCGGGCTTTGGACGGCCCCCGGCCAGGGCCGGGACCAAGGGGGACAAGCGGGAGAAAGCACCCAGCGCCGGTCTGGGAAGGCCCCCAGTGGGGCTCCTCTCGCTCCTCCGGGAAAGAGGCACAGGAGCGCCAAGCTACACAGTGCACTGGGAAGCAAAAATGACCCTCGAGAAGGCTGCGCCTCCTGGAAAGCAAGTCTGTTGCTGGGAACTGGCGGAGCAACAGCTTCCAGGGCGGTGGCATGCCCCACCCCCCGCGGATGGCACCCCTGTCCCCACCGCCCCTGCGGGAACAACATGCAGACAGTGTGGCCAGCTGCTTCCATCCCCACAAGCAGCACTCAGGCCCCTGCCTGGACCAAGTGGTCTCCAAGGGGAGAGCAGTCCAGGCCCGTCTCTGGAGAAAAAGAAGGCCACGTGCAGCCAGCACGGGAAGAGCAGGAAAGCTGGGAGAAAACATCAGGCCACACGGCAGCACACACACGGGGGACCTGAGTTGACAGAGGAGACGTCAACACGGCTACAGCCGGCACGTTAAGGAACACAAGAGGAGGGCGGGCTGAACGACAGAATGGATGAAACGCGGGGGAACCTCAGCAGAGGTCTGAAATTTATATCCAGAGCCGAAAGGACCCTCCGGGACTGCAAGATAAAAAACCCAAAAGCATGAACCTAGTGGACAGCTTTAACAGCAGTCTGAACACAGCAAAAGGCAGAATTAGTGAAGTTTAAAACGCCAAGTTTAAAACACAGTCTTAATGTACTTCACAATAAAACGTCAGTGTCAAGTAAAAACAAAACTGACAGAGCTAAAAGAGGAAACAAATCCACATCAGAGTGGGCAATTAACCATCTCGCTTGGTAACTAATAGAACAAGCAGCAAGAAAACTAGGTGAGAATACAGAAGATGTGAACAACAACCAAGTTGATCTAAGAGAAACAGAAAACTCCACTCAAATGCAAAACCCAGTTTCTTTTCAAACACATTTACCAAAACAGAGCAAATACTGGTCACAAAGCAAAGTTCAACTAATTTCAAAAGACTAAAATCCCAGAGTGTGTTCTCTGACCATAGCGTGATCAATTAAAAATCACTAAAAGGGCCGGGTGCAGTGGTTCAAGCCCGTAATTTCAGCACTTTGCGAGGCCAAGGTAAGGGGATTGCCTGAACCCATGGATTTGAGAACAGCCTGGGCAACTTGGCGAGACCTCGTCTCCATAATAAATTTAAAAATTAGCCGGCTGTGGTAGCGGGCGTCTATAATTCCGGCTACTTGGAAGGCTGGGCAGAAGGATCGCCAGAGCCCAGCAGGTCGACGGTGGAGTGGCCATGAGCCTGCCACTGCACTCCAGCCTGGGTGACGGAGACTACAACTCAAAAAAAAAAGGAAGAGGCTGGGCTCAGTGGCTCAGCCTGTAATCCCAGCACTTTGTGAGGCCGAGGTGAGTGAATTGCCGCCCACAAGTTTGAGGCCATTCCCAGCAACTTGGTGAGACCTTGTCTCTACAATTAAAAAAAAAAAAAAAGTCAGGCGTGGTAGCACACGTCTGTAGTTCTGGCTACCTGGAAAGCTGACGCAGGATTGCCGGAGCCCAGCCCTCCAGTCTGGGCGACAGAGTGAGACTCCAACTCAAAAAAGAACCCTAAACAAGAAACCCAAGCATGAAATATAAAAAACCTGTGCAATACCAGGCTTGGTGGCTCAGTCTGTCATCTCAGCACTTTGGGAGGCCGAGGTGAGTGGACTGCCTGAGCCCGCAGGTTTGAGAACACCCCGGGCAACTTGGCGAGACCTCATCTACATAATAAATTTAAAAACTAGCCAGCTGTGGTAGTGGGTGCCTATAGTTCTGGCTACTAGGAAGGCTGAGGCGGAAGGATCGCTGGCGCCCAACAGGTCAATGCTAGAGTGGCCGTGAGTGGGCCACTGCACTCCAGTCTGAGTGACGGAGTGAAACTCCAACTCAAAAAAAAAAATCACTAAAAGAACAATAACTAGAAAATCCCAAATGCTAGGAAATTAAACAGAACACTTCTAAAGAATGCAAAGGTCCAAAAAGATATCACAATAAAAACCAGAGAATGACAAATTAAATTGAAATAAAATAGATGAAAACAGATAAAAGTAAAAGTCAATTAAAGAGAAATCTGACAGCAGAGAAAAATCAACAAGGCTAAAGTGAGTGCTCTGCAAGGAGCAATAAAACTGACAAACCCCTAATAAGACTTTTCAAGCGGGAGCGGAAAGGGAGAAAAAACAAACAGCTAACATCAGGAATCCAAAAGGGGCATCCCACAGATCCCAGGGACACAGAATACAGTGAGAAGGTTGCAACAGCTTGATGCCACCAAAGCTGACGTTGCAGATGAGTATGACAAACTCCTCAAAAACAGGTTTATCAGAACAGAAACTCGTAAGTAGACTTATCTATGCTAGAAAATTGACTTCTTAACTTAAAGCCATCCACAAAAATAAAACGAAACCCCAGGCCCAAACAGCTCCACTGAAGAATCCTTCCAAATGTTTAAAGAAATAATAATCTTATACACATTCTTTTTTTTTTTTTTGAGTTGGAGTCTCACTCGGTCGCCCAGA